ATTTTCTTGTCTGTTTGCTAAAATGTGAGCTAGACTGTGAGCACTACAAGGACAGGGACTGTGCTAGATTATTCCAGTTGTATCCAAAGTACCCAAGCCTAATGGCAGGTATATAGTAGATGCTCAGGAAAAATGTATTGCATCCATGAATAAATAATTTCAAGATTGTTGTTGTTGTTAGGTGCCCTTGCGTCGGTTCCAACTCATAGCGACCCTGTGTACGATAGAATGTAACACTGCCGGGTCCTGAGGCATCTTCACAATCATTGTTATGCTTGAACCCATTGTTGGAGCCACTGTGTCAGTCCATCTTGTTGAAGGTCTTCCTCTTTTTCAGTGACCCTCTACCAAGCATGATGTCCTCCAGGGACTGATCCCTCCTGATAACATGCCCAAAGTATGTGAGACATAGTCTTGCCATCCTTGCTTCTAAGGAGCATTCTGGCCGTACTTCTTCCAAGACAGATTTGTTTGTTCTTTTGGCAGTCCATGGTATATTCAGTATTCTTCACCAACACCACAATTCAAAGGCGTCAGTTCTTCTTAGGTCTTCCTTATTCATTGTCCAGCTTTCACATGCATATGAAGTGATTGAAAACACCATGGCTTGGGTCAGGCGCACCTTAGTCTTCAAGGTGACATCTTTGCTTTTTAACACTTTAAAGAGATCTCTTACAGCACATTTGCCCAATGCAATGCGTCTTTTTATTTCTCGGCTGCTGCTTCCATAAGTGTTGATCGTGGATCCAAGTAAAACGAAATATTTGACAACTTCAGTCTTTTCTCCCTTTGTCATGATGTTGCTTATTGATCCAGTTGTGAGGATTTTTGTTTTCTTTACATTGAGGTGTAATCCATACTGAAGACTGTAGTCCTTGATTTCAAGATAGATGTACTGAATGTGTAATAGGCACTGTCATGGATTGAATTGTGTCCCCCAAAAATCTGTGTATCAGTTTGGCTAGGCCATGATTCCCAGTATTGTGTGATTGTCTACCAATGTGTCATCTGATGTGATTTTCCTACATGTTGTAAATCCTATCTCGATGATGTTAATGAGATGGGATTAGTGGCAGTTATGTTACAGGCAGGCCTCAATCTACAAGATTAGATTATGTCTTAAGCCAATCTCTTTTGAGATATAAAAGAGATAAGTGAGTAGAGAGACATAGGGACCTCATATGACCAAGAAAGCATCGCAGGGAGCAGAACGTGTTCTTTAGACCTGGGGTTCCTGCGTGGAGAAGCTCTTAGTCCAGGGGAAGATTGATGACAAGGACCTTTGCCCAAAGCCAACAGAGAGAGAAAGCCTTCCCCTAGAGCTGGCACCCTGAATTCGGACTTTAGCTTCCTAGACTGTGGGAGAATAAATTTCTCTTTCTTAAAGCCATCTACTTGTGGTATTCCTATTGTAGCAGCACTAGATATCTAAGACAGAATTTGGTACCAGAAGTGGGTTGCTGCTCTAACAAATACCTAAAATGTGGAAGTGGTTTTGAAACTGTGAATGGATAGAGGCTGGAAGAGTTTTTTTGTTTTTTTTTTAACTTGTGCTTTAGGTGAGAGTTTACAGCTCAAGTTAATTTCTCATACAAAAATTTGCAATGTGCCATTAGTTGCAGTCCCTCTAATGTGACAGCACACTCCCCCTTTCCACCTTGGGTTTCTTGTGTCCATTTAACCAGTTCCTGTCCCTTTCTGCCTTCTCACCCTGCCTCTGGACAGGAGCTGCCCATTTGGTCTCATATATATGATTGAACTAAGAAGCACACTCTTCACAAGTATTATTTTATGTTTTATAATTCAGTCTAATCTTTGTCTGAAGAGTGGGCTTCAGGAGTGGTTTTAGTTCTGGGCTAACAGAACATCCAGAGGCCATGGCTTCGGGGGTTCCTCCAGTCTCAGTCAGACCATTAAGTCTGGTCTTTTTACATGAATTTGAGTTCTGCTCCATACTTTTCTCCCGCTGTTTCGGAACTGTCTGTTGTGTTCCCTTTCAGGGCGGTCATTGATGGTAGCCAGACACCATCTAGTTCTTCTGGTCTCAGGCTGATGGAGTCTCTGGTTTATGTGGACCTTTTGTCTCTTGGGCTAATATTTTCCTTGTGTCTTTGGTATTCTTCATTCTCCTTTGCTCCAAGTGGGTTGGGACCAATTAATATATCTTAGATGACCACTTGAAAGCTTTTAAGACCCCAGATGCCACTCAGAGGCTGGAAGAGTTTTAAAGTGCCTAATAGTAAAAGCCTAGATCGCCTTGAAGAGACTATTGGTGGAATTATGGACATCTAAGACAATTCTGGTGAGGACTCAGAAGGAAATGAGAACTGTTACACTGGTGACAGCACAGATGGTGAGAAGCAGCAGCAGAGAAACAGCAGCAGAACTAGGAGACCAGCGTGACACAGCGCTGTAGCTGACTCATGGAACAAGAGGGCTAAGTGCCTTTGTGCAGGAGGCTTCCTGGCGGAGTAGGGTGCCTCTGGGCACTTATTGGAGGAGCTAGGCTTGCTGACCCATGGAGCAAGAGAGCTGAGTGCCTTCTGGCCATTGTCTGTGGAGCTACAGAGTTTCGAAACACTTGCCCCTGCAAGGCAGATGTGGGCAGTGAGGTTCGAGGGGCCAAGAGGCCAAGGAACCAGGAAACAGAACTGCCTCAGTCTTAAAGGGTAGGGCCATGACCTCTGGGGTCTCAAAGGGTGGAGTTGCCACTCAGATGGACTAGGAAAATGGGGCCACCCAAATTCAAGGGAGCAGAGTTGCCATTCCAGTGGGCCTGGAAGGTGGAGCTGAAGCCCAGGGCCGAGGAGCCTCCACTCAGAATCTGGAGAGTGTGGCCAGTACCTAGAGTCTGGAGGGCAGGGCTGTTGTATGAATGATCTCAGAGAACAGAGGATTATTTTCAAACCTTGAGGGCTAATGTAATCTGTTTTGCTGACTAGCTTGGTGTCTGTTACCCCTTCTTTCCTTCTAATTTCTCCTATTTGTAATGGAAATGTCTAGCTTGTGCCTGTTCCACCATTGTACTTTCGAAGCAGATTACTCGTATTCTAGATTTCACAGATGAAGGGGAATTTTTGGATTTTGGACTTGGAGTTGAATTAAGACTTTTGCTATGATATGATGGGGTGAATTTATTTTACATGTGGTAAGGATATGAATTTTGGGGGGCCAAAGGGTGGAATGTCATGACAGGTACCAAACACTACACTCAATGCCATAGAAAAGTGATTTTCCAAGATTTTTGGATTTTACTAACCAGTAAATTAAAAGAATAAAACTGACATTGAGGTTATATGGAATTTAAAAAATCATCTACCATAAGCGTAATTTCATAAATATATTTCAACAACATAAAACTAGGAAGCACATAATGGGATATTTCCTTTTATTAAAAACTCCTTACATTTTTTTTATCTCATTTTCTAGATGATCAGTAAAAGCATCATCATTGACTACTTTTGTAACCCTTTGATTGGCACAGAAGAGAAAGTATATTGGACAGATATCCCTAGTTCAATAAAGTATACAATACAGTAGAGAGATATAAGTGACACACAACGGACAACCAAGTGTTAAATTGTGCGGTGCTGATTCCAGGTGCCGTGCCTTTGAGGAAGAATGGAAAGGTAGGTGTGCCTGGAGTCACCGGGGCACGGACCTTGATCTGACGTGGAATTCCGTGCAGTTGTGTAGGGTTTGCAGTTTACCAAGTGTGTTCATGCACACTCATTACCTGATTGAATTCTCACAATTACTTTGTGAAATAGATTTTATTATCCCTATTTTACAGGTGAGGAACCGTGGTGGCACAGTGGTTAAGTGCTCAGCTGCTATGCTAACCAAAAGGTTAGAACCCACCAGCTGCTTTGTGGGAGAAAGATGTGGCAGTCTGCTCCCGTAAAGATTACAGGCTTGGAAACCCTGTGGGGTAGTTCTACTCTGTCCTGTAGGGTCACTATGAGTCAGAATCCACTCGAGGGCAATGGGTTTTTTTTTGTTGTTGTTGTTTGTTTTATTTGACAGGTACAGAGAGAGGTGCAGAAAAATTCAGTGACTAACCCAAGGTGACACACACCCCTAATAAGTGGCTGAGCACTGAGAGATCTGGAACCCCAATCCTTCTAAACCAGCATTCAATCCACCGCGTCCCTCTGCTTCCTGCAAGATTATTGTTATTGTGGGGTGCCGTCAAGTTGGTTCTGACTTGTAGTGACCCTATGTACGACAGAATGAAACACTGCCCGGTCCTGAACCATCCTCACAATCATTGTTATGCTTGAGCTCATTGTTGCAACCACTGTGCCAGTCCGTCTGGTTGAGGGTCTTTCTCTTTTTCATTGACCCTTTACTTTACCAAGCATGATGCCCTTCTCCAGGGACTGATCCCTCCTGATAACATGTCCAAAGTATGTGAGACATAGTCTCGCCATCTTTGCTTCTAAGGAACATTCTGGTTATATTTCTTCTGAGATAGATTTGTTTGACCTTTTGGGAGTCCATGGTATATTCAATATTCTTCGCCAACACCGTAGTTTAAAGGCATCAGTTCTTCTGTCTTCTTATTCATCGGTCCAGCTTTCACATGCATATGAGGCGATTGAAAACACCAAGGCTTGGGTCAGGCACACCTTAGTCTTCAAGGTGACATCTTTGCTTTTCCACACTTTAAAGAGGTCTTTTGCAGCAGATTTGCCCAATGCCATGCGTCTTTTGATTTCCTGACTGCTGCTTCTTGACTGCCTGGAAGATTAGAAAACAGGAAATGTCAGCGGAGAAGGGTGTCCCGCCACGACAGTGGATAAGTTTGAGCAAATGTACGTAGACCAAATTTTCCCACCACCCTCTTTTGTCTAAAGCCCTGAACAAAGGTACTCGCATAAAGCTAGAAGAGTTGCGCTACAGAAAAGTTTGGGAGAGGGGCATCGTCCTACGCAGAGCAACGGTCCCCCGGGGTGTGGCCTGTAGCTTGGTGTCTGTGACGCGCGATGCGCTCGGGGCGTGGCTTTTTGCGCAGCCGGCTGGCTTTTCCCGGCAGAAGCACAAGGACGCCGGACCATGGCGAGTAGCGAGCCCTCGATCGGCGGCGCCCGGCGGCCGCTGCACTCGGCGCAAGCCGTAGACGTGGCCTCGGCCTCCAATTTTCGGGCCTTCGAGATGCTGCACTTGCATTTGGACCTGCGGGTGGAGTTCGGGCCGCCGGGGCCGGGCCCGGGAAGCCGGGAGCTTAGCGGCTCAGTGACCCTGAAGCTGCGCTGCCTGGTGCCCGATGGCGCCACCGAGTTGCTGCTCGACTCGCACCCGTGCCTCGAGGTGACGGCGGCGACGCTGCGGCGGGAGCGGCCCGCCTCCGAAGAGCCACCCGAGGAGCCCGTGCCCTTCCACACGCGGCCCTTCTCGCACTACGGCCAGGTCCTGTGCGTGGCCTTCCCGCAACCCTGCCGCGCTGGCGAGCACCTCCAGGTGCTGCTCACCTACCGCGTCGGGGAGGGACCTGGGGTGAGTATGTCCTCCGGAGCCCAGACCCCCAGCACTCGCCGCAGCCCTCACCCGGCCGCTTCCTCCTCGCCTTTCCGCTTCCTCCCCGCCTTTCCGGCCTCCAGACCAGCACTTACCCCACCTTCTCCAGGAAAAGGAAAGGAAATTCTTACAGCCTTCCTGGGTGGGGGGTTCCCAGTGTCCCTTGTGGATGCCTCTCATCCGCCCACACTCAGCTCCCTCTTTTCCTCACCGGCTCCCTGTCTTCCCCTCTTCTGGCTTTCAGTTGTGCTAGACCATTTGTTCTTTCCATCTCACTTGCCTGTCCTCCCTGGCGATTGTCGTGGCTTGTGCAGAACATCCCTACATTCCCCCGCGTCACATACCCCTATATCTAGTTTCCATTTTTGCAGGAGGAGGTAACCTTATCCTTTCTGGATAGCCAGCTGTTCACAAATTGAACTTTAATGCTTTCACGGGGCTTTTCGGCCTAGGTCGCCGATGAATCTATCAATCCCTTAATTTCTGCTTTGTGGTGGCCCTGGACAGTGTGGGTTAGTTAGCCAGATGATGACTCAGTCCTTTGTGCTGTGTGCTCTTCTAGTTCCACAGGCTAAAACAACTCTGAAACCCAGACAGTTATTTTTGTTTCCTCCTGTAAAGTTCCAGATTTAATGAACAAAAGAATTAGAGTACAAGTGAGAACTCGAATTAGGGTGTACAGGAGCCCTGCAAAGGAGCCCTGCCCACAGGGGTTAAAGCGCTTGGCTGCTAAGGTGAAGTCGGTGGTTCGAACCCATCAGCTGCTGTGTGAGAGAAAGATGTGGCAGTTGGCTTACTAAAGATTTACAGCCTTGGAAACCCTGTGGGACAGTTCTGCCCTGTCCTATAGGGTCACTGTCAGTCAGAATAGATGGCAACGGGTTTGGTTTTTTCTTGGTTTAGGCTTTATAAGAGGGAGCCTTGGTGGTGCAGTGGTTAGGCACTGTAATCCACCAGCTGCTCCCTATGGGGAGGAAGACACGGAGAAAGATCCCTAAAGATTACAGCCTTGGAAGCCCTTGGGACAATTCTGTTCTGTCCTGTAGGGTCACTGTGAGTCAGAATCGACTGGATGCAACCGGTTTGGGTTTGGGTTTTTTAGGCTTTATAATTACTTGTCCTTGTCACTGTTGGTTGACTCTCAAATTTTAAATTTGTGTGTTGGGGCAGGTATTGGAAATAAGAGGATGGAAAGCTATGTGGGCCATATCTGTAAGAATCAGTCAGAAATCCTTCCTGGAGAGACCTTAGGTAGTGCTTGCCAGTCATTTCTAGGATAGGGCGGGTTACAAATTTTGCACTTCATTACTTGTGTGTGATTGAAATTTGCTTATCTGGCTAGCAGTTCCCCTTTGCTCCTAGAACTGGCTCTAAGGGCGTTTCTGTTTCTTCTTTCACCACTGGGGGAATAAGTGAACCTTATGATTCATTCTTTTTCTTCTTCTTCTTTTTTTTATAATTCTGTTTATTTTGTTGTTGTTGAGAATACACACAGCAAAACACACCAATTCATCAGTTTCTACATTTACCCTTTAGTGACATTGATTACATTCTTTGAGTTGTGTAACCATTACAACCCTCTTTTTTTGGGTTGTTCCTTCCTCATTAACATAAATTCACTGCCCTCTAAGGTTCCTATCTAATTTTTCCAGTTGCTGTTGTCAATTTGACAACTGTAGGAGTAGAGAACAGTTCTTAAAAGAGCACAATGCTTAAGGCAGACATTTTTTACTAGTTAAGCTAAACTATGGTTTTAAGAAGACTTCAGGGGATATTTTTGGTTTAAGGTTTAAAGATTATCTCAGGGCGGTAGTTTCAGAGGTTTACCTCACCTTCATGGCTCCAGGAAGTCTGGAGTCCATGAGAATTTGAAATTCTGTTCTGCGTTTTCCCCCTTCCGATCAGTATTCTATGAAATTTTTGCTCAAAATGTTTGGTAATGATAGCTGGGCATCATCTAGTTCTTCTGGTCTCATGGCAAAAATCTTTTAGTTTTATTGTGCTTTAGGTGAAAGCTTATAGCGCAAATTAGTTTCTCATTCAAAAATTTGTACACAAATTGTTTTGTGATGTTGGTTGTAATCCCTGCAATGTGCTTTTGTTTTTTTTTAATGAATGAAAAAATGTTTACAATTAAATAAAAAGAAAATCCAAAGCACCTGATGTAAGCTGACTGTAAGGCGAAGGAAAAGTCCAATAGGGATAACGTAAGTCTGTAAATGTTTGATTGCTCCATTATATTCTGGTTCCTGGTTTTTGGCACGAACTAGAAATTCAACAGGGGAACTGGAAAAATTAAGCCCTCCCTGAATTTGCCTGCTGAATGTGACACCTCAAATGAAACATCAAAATCAAATAACTTTAAGACATAATGGTCCACACTTTGTAAAGAACTGTCCTTGGCACTTGTAGTTCTTCTCTCCGCCCTTCTCATTGAAAGTCCTCGCTTTAATCACTGTAGCAGCCTCTCCCTGACTTCAGACTCTTGGTAGTGTACATGTGGCCAGGCTCCTTCCGTCATTTCATTTTCTTTACATCATTCTTTTGAAAACTCAGGCAAAAATGATGAGTAAGGAAAATTATGGCAGAGGGGGTAATAGCCAGTATTTATTAAGATGTGGCAGGCACTAGTCTAAGTGCTTGATGTGAGTTGTCTATGTAAGTGTCTCTATGGTACTTAGTACATAATGAGGATTCTATAAATGTTAGCTCTGATCGTCAACACATTAAAATTATATTTTAATTAATAACTTTATCCCTGGGCGGTGCAAACAAGTAATGCGCTTGGCTGCTAACCAAAAGGTTGGCAGTTCAAGTCCACCCAGAGGCACCTTGGAAGAAAGGCCTGGTGATCTACTTCTGAAAAATCAGCCAGTGAAAACTGTATGGAGCACAGTTTACTCCAACACGTGTGAGGTCACCATGAGTCGGTATCAACTCGACAACAACTAGTTATTGGCTATTTTTTTAAAACAGCTTTAGATTAACAGAAAAATTGAGCAGATAGTACAGAGTTCCACATCCTCCTCCATACACACACACACACACACACACACACTCACATTTTACATATTAACATTTTGCATTAGTATGATATATATGTTACAATTAATGAACTGATATTGATATTATTAACTAAAGTCCATAGTTCTGATTTCCTTAATTTTCACTTAATGTCTGTTTTTATTCTGGGATCTGATCAGAATACCACATTATATTTAACTGTCATGTCTCCTTAGACTCCCTTTGGCTGTGACAGTTTTTCAGACTTGTTTTTGATGACCTTAACAGTTTAGAGAAGTGCTGTCAGGTATTTTGTAGGATGCCCCTCAATTGGAATTGGTCTGATGTTTTTCTCAGGATTAAACTGGGTTTATGGGTTTTTGAGCAGAAGATCACAGACGTAAAGTACCATTTTCATCACACCTTTTGAGTGTACCTACTGTCAACATGATATAAGACTGTTGATGTTGACCTTGATCACCTAGCCAAAGTAGTGTTTGTCAGGTTTCTCCCTGTGGACTTATTCCTTTATTCCCTATCCATGCTGTATTCTTTGGAAGGAAACTCATTAAAATTTTCACACACCCACACATACACAAAAAAAAAACTCAAGCAAAGAATAACCCAACATCCCAATGTGGCTTCCTTATGCCTCTTAAAATCTGTCTCAAATACTTCTGTATTCAAGGCCGTTTGTTATACTTGCTCCTTCATCCTCCCACCAAGGCCCTTTGTTATACCTGCTCCTTCATCCTCCCACCACTCTGTATCCAAAACCTGCCCCCAGTTCCCAGAGCCCGCTACTGTCCATGCTCTTACTCAGACTGCTGCTCACTTCTCCAAGAATGTCTTCTCTTCTTTCCAACATCTAAATCCTGCCCATCTTTGCAGGCCCAACCAGAAAGTTTTGCTTCCCCTATGAAACCTTCCTGGAATAATCTAGTCCTTCTCTAAATTCTAAATGACGGCCCTCCTCCCTACCAGTTAGGTCTGTGTTGTAAGTGAACTCCTTTTCGTTGTGGGCAAAAACTGGGTTGTATCATTTCAGATTTGCCCTTGATTTAAGGGCTAACAGAAGACAAATTAAGAATTATATAACCAGTGCCTGTAATGTAAAATACATCTATTCTGAAAAGATAGACTTTTTTGTCTATTGTTGTACTTCAAGTGAAAGTTTACAATTCACGTTAGTCTCATACAAAAATTTATACATACATTGTTATGTGACCCTAATTCTTCTCCCTATACTGTGACAGCACACTTCCCCTTTCCGCCCCTGATTCCCTATGTCCATTCAGCCAGCTCCTAACCGTCTCTGCCTTCTCATCTCACCTCTGGACAGAAGCTGCCTGTTTAGTCTCTTGTATCTACTTGAGCTAAGAAGCACACTCTTCACGAGTATCATTTTATGTCCCACAGTCCAGTCCAATCTTTGTCTGAAGAGTTGGCCTCGGAAATCGTTTTAGTTCTGGGCTGATAGAGAATTCGGATAGATTTTAGGAATGGAGAACACACCTTAATCGTTGATTCCCAGTCAGTTAGGTTCTCCTTTTCTGTGTCTTGTCACAATTCCAAATACAGTGGCTTGAATGTTTGTGTTTTGATGAGGAACTACTACGGTGAGAGGGACACAGAGGACAGGGTCAGAGGCCAGGTCTGAGATTCCTGAGATGACCCGTGGGAGACGGGAACAGGCCCTGTGTGGTGGTTCTACCCTGTCAAGTGTAGGTAATACCTTGGCATGGGTTCCGGGGTGGATTAAATACACAGTATAAGAGAATGTCTTAATTGCAGCCAAACTGGCTAGCAGAGATTTTAAGGATTACCTAAAGTTCTCCCATGCCAGCCAGCTCCTTTTCTCTGGCTGGGCTGATCTCATGGAGGTGGGGTCAGTTCTGAAATGTTCTGTTCTCTTAGGTTTGCTGGCTGACTCCTGAGCAGACAGCAGGAAAGAAGAAGCCCTTTGTCTATACCCAAGGTCAAGCTGTGCTAAACCGAGCCTTCTTCCCTTGCTTCGACACTCCTGCAGTGAAATACAAATATTCAGCCCTTATTGAGGTAAGGGGACTAAGGTTAGGTGCACCTGCCCTTGGGAGTAATAATTTTAGATCTTCGAGATCACATTTCAGTTGGTAAATCATAACATCAGTCCAGTGGTACTTGTGAAAAATTCCTTACTCCCAAATTCTCCCACCTATAGAAACTGCATTTAGCCTTCCTCCAAATCGCATTGGTGTAGCACAGGTTTAGTTTCTTGAAACCTTTGTGCTCCCCACAGTGGACTCTGGATCATTATCATCAACACACAGGTTGCTAGTCATTGCTGTTTGTCAAACTAATCAAAAGGAGACTCTCTGGGTAAAATCTCCTAAGCTTTCTGTCTTGTCAGGTCCCAGATGGCTTCACAGCTGTGATGAGTGCCAACACCTGGGAGAAGAGAGGTCCAAATAAGTTCTTCTTCCAGATGTGTCAGCCCATCCCCTCCTATCTGATAGCTTTGGCCGTCGGAGATCTGGTTTCAGCTGAAGTTGGACCCAGGTAGGAGCCAAAAAGCTCACAAGCTAAGTTGAATTGACTAAGTGGCAAGGAGGACTCTGATCAGTGGACCTGCTGGGGGTGGTTCTTGGGGCCATCTCAGATCCTCTCTGGAGTTTGGAACCTTTCTACAGCAGAGGAGCATGGTGTATGATTCCAGCTGGGCAAAATGCTCTTTTTTCCCTCCATCCCTCCAGTTCTGTCCGCTGTCTGGAATGAGATCATCAGACCTGCTAGCAGTAATTGCTGTCCTGGGCCAGCTTTCAGAGGGAGCTTAGGCAGCAATTTTAGAAGCTCAGTCTTTATTAAAAATATCTTTAAATTCTAAATTCTTTTGTAGCGACTATATTTGCTTTTTTATCTTTGCACCAAATCTTGCTCATTTTCTCTACCACTTAATTCCTGGAAATACATCACTTTGTTCTCATTAATTCCCTCTTGGGAGGGAAGTAGAATCTCCTTTCTATTTGTGGCAGATGCATAAACCTAAACCTCTGGTGACAGAGGTACTTCCATGATGTTAGATGGATTTAATGGAGATAAAAAAGGATTTTTCAAGGTTTCTTGAGAAAAGAAATTTGACCAGGAGTGTAGGCATTTCCTGGCTCTCATTACCTGCCACTATAGCTTATTGACAAGTGGCTGCAACAATGGGCTGAAACATAGCAACGATTGTGAGGGTGGCGCAGGACTGAGTAGTGTTTCATTCTGTTGTACTTAGGGTTGCTGTGAGTTGGAACTGACTGGACGGCACCTAGCACCACAGCTTAACCTGCTGTGAGAGCATGAAAGGTTGGACAGGAGAGTGGTGACACTTTTTCTGTCTCTGTTGCTGTTCTTTATGTCTGGTCTTGCCCTCAGTTCCTGGAGGTGGTGGTGTCCTTAACAGGATTAGTTACAAGTCTCAGACTTCATGACCCAGGGCTCAGTAGCACTGCCAGTGTCAGGAATCTTCGTTCCTTGGTATCAGATGGAAGAATAGATAAGATTCCATTCGTATCTACATCCAGCACACCCAAAACAATGCCAGTCTTAAAAGACAGCGTGCCCTCCTCTCTTGAAGGACTGTCTTCCTAATAGATAGGATAACAGATAAGCAGAGGAATGTCATCATTGCAGTAGGCAGGGAAGTAGGTAAGTAAAGGAATGACCTTTTAGAGACTTTACTCTTACTAAGTTTCTCTGGAATGAACACTGTCATGCGCCAGATAACATCCAAATTTTTTGGTTGCCCAGTGCATATAAAAGTTGTGTTTACACTATACTGTAGTCTATTAAGTGTGCAAAGGCATTATGTCTAAAAAAGCAAAGTACATACCTTAATTAAAAAATACTTTATTGCTAAAAAATGCTAGCCATCATCTGAGCCTTCAGCAAGTCATAACATTTTTGTTGGTGAAGGGTCTTGCTTCAGCTTGATGGCTGCTGACTGATCAGGGTGGTGGTTACTGAAGGTTGGGGTGGCTGTGGCAATTTCTTAAAATAACGCAAAAATAAAGTTTGCCTCATCGATTGACTCTTCCTTTCATGAAAGATTTCTCTGAAGCATGCGGTGCAGTTTGATAGCATTTTACTCACAGTAGAACTTCTTTCAAAATTGGAGTCAGTCCTTTCAGGCGCTGCCCCTGCTTTATCAGCTAAGTTTATTTAGTATTCTAAATCCTTTGTTGTCATTTCAACAGTGTTCACAGCATCTTCACCAGGAGTAGATTCCATCTCAAGAAACTACTTTCTTTGCTTATCCATAAGAAGCAGTTCCTCATCCATTAAAGTTTTATCGTGAGATTGCAGCAGTTCAATCATATCTTCAGGGCTCCACTTCAGATTCTAGTTCTCTTGCTGTTTCTACCACATCTGCAGTTACTTCCTCCACTATAGTCTTGAACTCTTCAAAGTCATCCATGAGGGTTGGAATCAACTTCTTCCTAACTCCTGTTAATGTTAATATTTTGACCTCCTCCCATGAATCGTGAATGTTCGTAATGGCATTCTAGAATGGTGAATCCTTTCCAGAGATTTTCAATTTACTTTGCCCAGATCCAGCAGAGGAATCACTATCTGTGGCAGCTGTATCCTTACGAAATGTATTTCTTAAATAATAAGACTTGAAAGTCGAAATTACCCCTTGATCCATGGGCTGCAGAATGGATGTTGTGTTAACAGGCATGAAAACAACATCAATGTCCTTGTACATCTCCATCCGAGCTCTTGAGTGACCAGGTGCATTGTCAGTGAACAGTATTGTTTTGAAAAGAATCTTTTTTTCTGAGCAGTAGGTCTCAACAATGGGCTTAAAATATTCAGTAAACCATGTTGTAAGCAGATGTGCTGTCATCCAGGCTTTGTTGTTCCATTTACAGAGCACAGGCAGAGTAGATTTTGCATAATTCTTAAGGGCCCTAGGATTTTTCGAATGGTAGGTGAGCATTGGCTTCACCTTAAAGTCACCAGCTGCATTAGCCCCTGACAAGAGGGTCATCCTGTCCTTTGAAGCTTTGGAGCCAGATATTGACTTCTTCTCTCTAGCTATGAAAGTCCTAGGTGACATCTTCCAATATAAGGCTGTTTCCTCTACATTGAAAATCTGTTGTTTAGTGTAGCCACCTTCATCAGTTATCTTACCTAGATCTTTTGGATAACTTGCTGCAGCTTCTACATCAGCACTCACCTTGCACTTCTGTGTTGTGGAGACGCCTTCTTTCCTTAAACCTCATAAACCAACCTCTGCTAACTTCAAACTTCTACATCATCTTTACCTTTCTGATCATTCATAGAGTTGAAGAGAGTTGGCACCTTGCTCTGGATTAGGTTTTGGCTTAAGGGAGTGTTGTGGCTGGTTTGATCTTCTATCCAGACTACTAAAACTATCTCCATATCAGAAACTATTTGTTCTGTAAACCTTCACCTAAAGTACAATTAAAAAAAAAGGAAAAAAAGAAATAATGAGACCCAAGGAAAAATGAAACCTATCCCCATATCAGCATTAAGTCTGTTTCACTTTCTTATCATTCATGTGTTCACTGGAGTAGCACTTTTAATTTCCTGCAGGAACTTCTCCTTTGCATTCACAACTTAGCTGACTGTTCGGTGTAAGAAGCCTAGCTTTCGGCCTGTCTTAGCTTTTGACATGCCTTCCTCACTAAGCTTAATCATTTCTAGCTTTTGATTTAAAGTAAGAGACGTGCAACTCTACTTTCACTTGAACACTTAGAGGCCATTGTAGGGTTATTAATTGGCCTAATTTCAATATTGTCATGTCTCAGGGAATAGGGAGGCCGGAGGAGAGGGAGAGAGAGGGGGGGAAACGCAGGTCGGTGGAGCAGTCAGAACACACACAACACTTATCAGTTAAGTTCGATGTTTTATATAGGTGTGGTTCGTGGTGCCCTAAAACATTTACAATGGTAACATCAAAGATCACTGATCACAGGTCACCGTAACAGATATAGTAATAATGAAAAAGCTTGAAATATTGCGACAGTTACCAACATGTGACACAGACATGAAGTGAGCACGTGCTGTTGGGAAGATGGTGCTGATAAGACTTGCTTGATGCAAGGTTGCCATAAACCTTCAATTTGTAAAAAAAATGCAATATCTGCGAAGTGCAATAAAGCGAAGCATGACTATATTGAAAACATACTAGATAATAATGATTTTTCTGAACCCTCTGTAATGTACATCAAATCCAGGTGGCAGAATCCATTTAACTGGTGATCATAATTTATTCCTCCCCTATCATAGGTCATATCTTAGGGCCTTCTAGGTACCATGTGGGGTGTGTTAAATGGGAAGGTCTTCTGGCAAAGTATGCCACCAAGCCCAGTCCCTGTTATTACAGAAGGAAGAGAGTGATGGATATATTCCAGTAGGCTCTCTCTGGTACAATCTCTTCTAATCCTCACAGCAGCCCAATGAGGGAGATGGCATCTCCATTTCACAGAGAAGCAAACTGAGTCTCTGGTGACGTGGCTTGTGTAAGGCCACATAGTGGACAGATACTAGAATTCAAATTCAGGTATTACTGTTGCAAGTCCAGTGTGCTTTTCACTGTACCACTGGTGATGAGACTGCAGCTTGACTGAGAGCAGCCTAAGTCTTTGGCAGAAATGTGTGTACTGATGCAAGTATTTTGGATGGTCCCTTCTAGCTTGTCTCAAACCTTCGGGTAGTTGTGACAAGTTGAAGTACCGTGGGCTGAAGGACTTAGTTATGACATCCAAGCTGGCGATGGAGCAGTTCACACAGAAATTCCTTGAAGACTTTGACTCCTGTGCCATGTGCCCTATCGCATCATCTTTGGTGACTTTGTGCTCCATGTGGATGACCCATCCCACACCCTGGCTTTCTTAACCTCCTCTGCTCCAGGAACCTTCTCCACTCCCTTCAGCCATCCAAACACCTTGGCCTCATTCATTATCTGACTCCACCCCACTAAGCTTCCGGCCCTCTGATGGCCTCACTCCCACTATATCCCACTGTGTCTGCTGCTTGAGTTCGTAGGGGCCTCCCTTCCTTCAAGTCACGTGTTTCTTCTGGGCAGTCAGCCTCTCCTGGCTGGCTTCTCTCTCTGGCCCAGGTGCCTGGTTGACTGTCTCTTATCAAACACCCAAGCCATCTTGCTCCCTGTCCTCCTGCTACAGGGATCCTACAGTTGCCTTCCTCCACCTCTATACCTGGGTGTTTGGGAGATGAAAAAAATAATGAACCTGTGCATATTGATACCACTACACATTTCTAGTCCCTCGGTGAAAAGCTGGAATTAAAGAAAAGTTCAATAGACACTTATGTGGTTTTTCAAGAAAAAGAAAACAAATGTAGTCTTCAACTGCAGGTCAGTATTGCTCAACAGTCCTATAACTTATCTTTCTATCTCACTCCCCTTCAGCTATTCTAAGATTTTGCTGTTTTCCTCATGTTCCCTATTCAAACTCCATGCCTACACTTCAGGCAGATGGTCTTTGTCTGTTTTATTGAGAATATTTAATCCATCAGATATGAATGACTACATCAACTTCCCAGCCTCCATTAAAAAGTCATCTGCTTTCATCTTTCCCTTTCTCCACCTGGACTCTGAAGATGAGGCAGCCTTCCTTCTATTTCAAGCCAAATCTCTTCATCTGAGCCCTTGCTTCTGTCCCTTCCTGGGTCCCCCGGGGCTTTGTTTCATCACTCACCTCTCTCTTCAGATCTGCTATCTCTGCCTCTCAGTTGGCTCCTTTCACCTGTAAACATGTCCCAGTCTTTCCTAGCTCTACAACAAAGCAGGAAGTAAACGCAAACTAAAAACTCCTTGACTCTGTATCCCCTCTTGGCACACTGCCCTCTCTCCTTCCCTTCCTAGCCAGGTTTCTTATAAGAGTAGCTCATATGTGCACTGTTCCACTTCTTGACCTCCCGCTCCATTGCTGCTTTCACCGTTTGGAATCCAGCTGCCCTTCCCCTGCCCCCCTGCAGTCATGCCGTTGAAACTCCTGGAATCATAGAGGCCATTGGCCTCCGTATGAACAATACGCTGGATACTTTTCGGTCCTTAACTTAGTGTTCTGTCCTTTTTCATCTGCCTCTGTTGACTGTCCTCTGGCTCTCATGACACTACTCTGTCCCAGTTTTAGGTCTGTTCCTTTCTGGTCTCCTTTGTGGACTCTTCTCTGCCCGGCCCCTTATGTGTCAGTGTTCCCCAGACTTCCATCCTTTTCCTGGTCTTCTCTCCTACGTGCTTTTCTTGGGGAAGCTCACCCACTTTTGTGGGTTTAACAGGTGTACTGCAGCCGGGGGAATGTCTCCAAACTAAATCTGACAGTATCACTTGTTTGCTTAAAACCTTCCCATGGCTCTGAGCGTCCAGCTCCGTAATGTGATAGATAAGACCCTTTGTGACCTGGCCCTCTCGGGCCTCTCCTGCTCCATTTCCTGCCATCCCCCTTACTCCCCCATTTGATACTGTACTTTTTAGTAATCCAGACTCTTGGTGGTTCCTCACAAGCACGGTGTAGTTTTCCATTACTACCAGTTGAATCCCTGTGTGTGTCAGAGTAGAACTGAGCTCCGTCGGGTTTTCAAGGGCTGATTTTTCGGAAGTAGATTGCCAGGGCTTTCTTCTGAGATGCCTCTGGGTTGGCTTGAACCATCAACCTTTTGGTTAACAGCTGAGCGCTTTAACCGTTTGCACCATCCAGGGACTCCTTTCCATTGCTAGGCCTTTACAGGGAGTATCATCTTCCTTTGCCTAGCTAAGTGTTATTTATCTTTGAATTCCACGCACGTGGCATCGGAATGCTGAAAGGCATCCATGAACTCCCAGCCTGGACTGCATGTCCTTCCTTCACTCCACAGCACCCCGCACCTGCCTGTCGTGGCATTTACCGGAGAAGTGGTTGTTGGCCTCGGTCAAACTGCTTGCCAGTGTGCTTACGACTGGAAGCCTGAAATGCCATTCCCAGGTCATAGAGCTGGAGTTGGAGAGGGACTTTCAGTCCGAGGGGCCTCAAGCCCCACTCGAGGCTTGCGAGATGCCGAGACTGGTTTCCCTGTTCCTTTTCTTCCTGCTAGAGTAGTTTCTGGGTTCCGCAAAAGCAGGGGAAGTCGCCCTCCACCCCCTCTGCCTTCTGGCTCTCCAGTGTGCCACGTGGAAGAGCAGCTCCCAGACCGTCCCGGCCCCCGCTGGCAGGCACAGGCTGGGGCTCTAGCACCCCGAATTCTGGGCTCAGACCGTCCCAGAATTCAGTGAAAGGTCTTGGCTCCTCTCCCCTCTCAGCCTTTCAGTTGGACTGGATCTTCCTGTGGGTTTTTTTTTTTTCCTTCTCCTTTCCCTTTTCACCTTTGTTTCCTCATGTTGTTATTAATAAAATTCCAAATGTATGAAAATTGAAAGAATCATATATTGAACTCAGGTATACCCATTCGTTTTGCCTTATTTTATTCATGCGTGGATTTGTTTTTGTTACTGCTAGACCATTTAAAAGTGAGTAAATCAGCATGCCTCTCCTAATACTAAAGACATCTCCCTTATAACCACAATACCATTATTGCACCTAGGAAGATTAACAATTAATTCGTTGTTAACATTGATGGTACGTCTCTTAAGGTTCCTTTGAATTCCAAAGATTGTATCATGAGAATCCTTTCTGGACCTCTCCTAAAGCACGGACAGTGGCGCCGACATTTACTGTGTAAGCCGCTGTATGAAGGGCTTTTATATGCTGTCTTGTTTAATCTTCACCACTCTTTTTATAGGTGAGGAATGGTGGCTCAGAGAGGTTAACACCTTTTGCAAGATTGCATTCAGTGTTGGAGCCATAAGCTTTATAGCACTGTGGGTTTGCGCCCCGTGGCCACCTCTGCGAGGCTGTCTTGGGTTCTTATTTCTCAGGTATGATGAACGGTCTGTTGGACCTGTGCAGGTGATCTGATCTTGCCTCTCCTGTCTCGGTGGCTGGCCAGATTGTCACGTTCATTTGGTTCAAATGTGAGACTGAGGCCAATTTTCTGCCCCTCCTTGTGTTTTCAGAGTCAAGTCACCTAGGTGGTTTTTAAACACCACTCTGGTCTCTTTGCTCTCTTGTCTGTAGGAGCCGTGTGTGGGCTGAGCCCTGCCTGATTGAGGCTGCCAAGGAGGAGTACAATGGGGTGATAGAAGAATTTTTGGCAACCGGAGAGAAGCTTTTCGGACCCTACGTCTGGGGAAGGTGTAGTATCACATTGACTTCAGTGTCTTCTGTTAAACCAAGTCTCTGGTTTCCCTCTCTCTCTTTTCTGGTGCTGCTTCTCTCCCTTCTGTCTCCTAGACCAAGGTCTCCCAAATCCCAGAGGTGAAGGAGGGAAGAAGAGAAACAAAAAGGGATGAACCAGCCTCCTCCATTATTGCTGAGGAGGGGGCCTTGGGAGAGAGGGTTCCTGAGATGATAAAAATGTGCTTCACGATTGCCAAGTTTGGGGATCAGGATACACTTGTCGGGAATTTTGTTGATTTCTCTTTCCTTGTGCTGGAAGTAGCTTCACATTCCATGTTTTCCTTTGACATCCCCAGACTTCAGTCTGCTTGGAGAATTAGGGTCCACTTTGGCCTTTATGACCCCAGCAATCTGCAGTGAGCCAAGTGTTTATAGAGCTGATGATATGTTCACACCCCTCTTGGAAGGGGGGAGGGGACCAAAAGGACTTGGAGAGCTGCCTCTGAGTGAGCAAACACCCCTTGGAAAAGGGAAGTCCCAGTCCATCGGGGTTGCCACTTGGGAGAAGGACTGAGGAGCCTGGGCTTCCTTTTGAGCACTGGGCCCATGGCGTACACGGCCTGGTTAGTGGCCATGTCTCTTGGAGCCTGGAAGTAGGCTGGGGAAGTCACTGCTCGGGCAAGTTAGGCAAGGTCTGCTCTGGGGAGCTGGGGCCTCTGTGACCCTCGCTTCCCCGCAGGTATGACGTGCTTTTCATGCCGCCATCCTTTCCATTTGGAGGAATGGAGAACCCTTGTCTGACCTTTGTCACCCCCTGCCTGCTGGCAGGGGATCGCTCCTTGGCCGACGTCATCATCCATGAGATCTCCCACAGTTGGTTTGGGAACCTGGTCACCAATGCCAACTGGGGCGAATTCTGGCTCAATGAGGGCTTCACCATGTATGCCCAGAGGAGGATCTCCACGACGCTGTTTGGTAAGCCGCTCCCAGGTACCACCCCCCATTCCACAGCCCATGAGCCCGTATGAGATTCTTCTGGGAGTTGGGGACAGAGGTGGGCGTGAAGGTGGGAGGGGTAGTATTACAGAAAGCTCGGGTGAAAGGCCATGGAGAGCTAAATCTAGACCAAAGTTGTTTTTAAGTAAATACTTCACACTTCACTGCATGTCACTAGAACCAGTAGGGAGTAATAGAAGAGAGAGAATCTCAAGTAATGTATGTGGAATGAGTGAACTAAGAGTGAAACTACCTTTTCACCCCCCATAGTCTCTACAACCTCTCATCCCCGCCATCCCAACCATCGAAGCTGAAGCCACGCTTGATGCTCTGTTCTTTCTAAAACCAGGCATAACCTCCAGAGGCGAGAGTTACCCAGGTCATTCACGCAGATGGCTGGTTAATTTTATGAATCATAAAATCATTATAATCACTACCTTGTATTGAACACCTGCGTGCCAGCTTTGTGCTAGGTACCGTATAAAAAAATAGATCATTCAACAATTTCACAGTAGCCCTACAAGATAGATACTATTATTTCCATTTTGTATGTGAGAAAACTACCACTCAGGGAGGCTAAGAAATGCGCCCAAGCACTTAGCTGGTGATTGTGGAGGAGGGAGACACCACGGCCTGCACTTTCACTACACTGTCCCATTGATTAACAAATATGACATTTGTTACTTTATTTTCTCTGATCAAGATCTATATTTGGCATATATAGAAAAAAACACACACAAAGAAAAAACATACCAATAATTTCACTGTCCGGGTAATCAGTGTACATATCTGTTAGGAATTGTGTCCCCTAAAAATATGTATCACCTTGGCTACGCCCTGATTGTTGTTTACTTAAAAACAATCACCTAATACTGTGTGAGTGAGTGTTCACCATTTTGTCCTCTGATGTGACTTATGTGTTGTAAATCCTACCTCTGTGATGTTAATGAGGCAAGATTAGAGGCAGTTATGTTAATGAGGCAGAACTCAATCTACTAAAGATTAGGTTGTGTTCTAAATCAATCTCTTGAGATAAAAGACAGAATCCAGCAGAGAGATAGGGGTGCTCATACCACCAAGAAAGTAGTGCCAGGAGCAGAGTGCGTCCTTTGGACCTGGGGTCCCTGGACTGAGAAGGTCCTAGAGCAGGGGAAGATGGACGACAAGGACCTTCCCCCAGAGCCAACAGAGGGAAAAAGCCTTCCCCTGGAGCTGGCACCCTGAATTCAGACTTCTAGCTTCCTAGACTGTGAAAGAATAAATTTGTCTTTGTTAAAACCATCCACTTGTGGTATTTCTGTTACAGCAGCACTAGATAACTAAGACGATATCCTTTCAGACATTTTTCTGTGTGTGTGTGGTGTGAATTATCAGACCATACATGTTTTTACCACCGGGTTTTTTTTTATGGCTTCATAATGTTAAACATTTTCCTAAGTCATTAAATTTTCTTTTAAGACTGCACAGTATGGATGGTTCATAATTTATTCAGTCCATCACCAGTTGTTAGATAGATTGTTTCCAATTTTCCATTGAAATATTTTGGCAAACATCCTTACAAATAAATCTGGGTGCATGTCTCAGATTTTTTTAGTTGATTGAGGATAAATTGCTAGAAACATAATTTCTGAGTCTGAACATTTTTAAGGCTTTTTAGTATATGTTGTCCCATCGCCTCCCAGAAAGTTCATACAAACTTACATTTTCATCCAAAGTATATACAGCAAGAGTCTATTTGTAAACAGGCTCATAATTAGGCCCTAAGAATCCAACAGAGCAAATATTATTATCCCATTGAGCAGATGAAGAAACTGAAGCTAAGAGAGGTTAAGTAACTTGCCAGGAGTCAGAAGGTCTAGTATGTTGCAGCATGGCTGGTTAAAAAACTGGGTCCCCTCCCCCTCCACCGTTCCTCAGGCTGTGTTAGAGCCGGAAGGGGCCTTGGAGACTCTTAGAAGAATTGTATCTGTTTCTCATTTCTCACAGGAACAGTCAGATGAAAATATTCTAAGTTTTCATAGAAGATTGAACTACTATCTTGAAAAATAACAGTACATTGACAGGGAAAGTTAATTGTCAGAGGAACAGATGTAAATGATTCCTCCACTCCTTTTTTTTTTTTCTTTTTTTCCCTTTTTTTGTGGTAGAAATAGATAACGTAAAATTGGCCATTTTAACCATTTTTTGGCATACAATTCAGTGGCATTACTTACATTCACATAGTTTGAATATAGTTCACCACTGTTTGTCTCCAAAACTTTTTCATTACCCCTCCAAAAAAACTCAGTACCTGTTAAGCAATAACTTCCCATTCCCCCCTCCCCCAGCCGCTGGTAAGCACTCGTCTACATTCTGTATATATATTTGCCTGTTCTAGCTGTTTCGTATACGTGGGATCAAGCAGCCTTTGTTCTTTTGTGTCTGGCTTATTTCACTCAGCCTTATGTTTTCAAGGTTCATCCATGTCGTAGCATGTATGAAAACTTTGTTTTTTTTTTAAATAAATTTTTTATTGTACATCAGATGGAAGTTTACAGAGCTAGTTTCCTGTTTGATAGTTGGTACACAAAGTGTTCTGCGACATTGGTTCCATTCCCCACAATGTGCCCGCCCTCCCTCATTTCTGTCCTAGGTTCCCTGTTTCCTTTCATCCCAAATTGCTGCCCCTTTCTGTCTTCTCATCTTTGCTTTTGGGCAAATGTTGCCCTTTTGATCTCGTATAACAGATTGTTTTAAGGAACACATTCCTCTTGGGTGTTGTTATTTATTTTATGGGCCTGTCTATCGTTTGGCTGAAAGGTAGTCTCCGGTGATGGCTTCAGTTCCAGTTCAGAAGGGTGTCTTAGGGCCATAGTCTCGGGGATTCCTCCAGTCTCTGTCAGACCAGTAAGTCTGGTCTTTTTTGTGAATTTGATTTTTTGTTCTACGAGTTTTCTGCTGCTTTGTCCCGGGCCCTCTGTTGTGACCCTAGTCAGAGCAGGCGGTACTGGTAGCCGGGCACCATCTAGTTCTTCAGGTTTCAGAGTCACGTAGGCAGTGTTTCATTTGATCCATTAGTCCTTTGGACTGCTTGCTCCCTTGGGTCTTTGGTTTTCTTAATTCTCTTTTGCTCCGGATAGAAAGAGACCAATAGTTATATCTTAGATGACCACTGGCAAGCTTTTAAGACCTCAGACACTACTCACCAAAGTAGGATGCAGAACTTTGTCTTTATGTACTGTGTAGTGCCAGGTGACATAGATGTCCCCCGAGTTCGTGGTCTTTTGTCCTTGAGCCTTGGAACTTTGTCCCATGAGGTATTTGGTTATGTCTAAGACGTTGCCCTGACTGTTGCCCTCGTGTGCTCTATTGACTGTATTGGTACGTAAGCATCACTTACAATTATATATGTGGAAGTATTCACCACCAAACCTGTATCTGCAGATGAGTGTGTTCCCTTTCCCCCAGTCCTCATTTATGGGAGACACCGACAGTCTACGCTAACCAAGTCCTTTGGACCCACAGCTTGATAGGAGCTGAGTCAGGGTGTCTGTCAGTGACCCTTTTTGCCCTCTGGTCCCCAGGAGGGTATCTGCCATTGTTCTCCTTGTGACCATCAGGGGGCAGCACAGCCTCTTCTGTCAGGAAGGTGTCCTTGGATGTCTGAGACAAACTCTTGGGGTTTATGGTTTATTTTTACTGCAGGGGCTGCTTACACCTGCTTGGAAGCTGCTGCGGGGCGGGCTCTGCTGCGGCAGCACATGGACATCACTGGCGAGGATCACCCACTCAACAAGCTCCGAGTGAAGATCGAACCAGGTCCTCTCTCTGACATCCTCTCCCCTGAATTGAGCACAGAGCCCCAAGTTGGTCCGAGCTTCATGTTGATCAGTGCACACTTAGAATACCTGCTTTAGGAGGGTGCTCTTTTTAACCATTCCCTGGCCTCTGGGCAGACTGAACCCCAGCCATTTCAGCAAGATAGGAGTTCTGTCTGGTTCTGTGCAGTCTTTAATGACCTCACTACCACTTTACATTTGTACAGGTCCATATAATTTTACAAGGTGCTTTCCCATTCCTTTTGGTTTTTATTGTGCTTTAGATGAACGTTTACGGAACAAACTACCTTCTTGTTAAAACAATTAGTACACATATTGTTTTGTCACGTTGGTTACCATCCCCACAACATGTCAACACTCTCCCCTTCTCGACCTTGGGTTCCCCGTTACCAGCTTTCCTGTCCCCTCCTGCCTTCTAGTCCTTGCCCCTGGGCTGGTGTGCCCGTTTAGTTTTGTTTTGTTTTATGGGCCTGTCTAGTCTTTGGCCAAACGGTGAACCTTGGAGTGACTTCATTACTGAGCTACAAAGGTGTCCGGGGGCCAAACTTGGGGTTTCTCCAGTCTCTGTCAGACCAGTAAGTCTGGTCTTTTTTTTTTTGTGAGTTAAATTTGTTGTACATTTTTCTCCAGCTCTGTCCACCCTCTATTGTGATCCCTGTCAGAGCAGTCGGTAGTGGTAGCTGGGCACCATCTAGTTGTGCTGGACTCAGTCTGATTGGGGATGTAATACTTGTGGTCCATCAGTCATTTGGACTAACCTTTCCCTTGTGACTCTGGTTTTCTTCATTCTCCCTTGCTCCAGGTGGGGTGAGACCAGTGGAGTATCTTAGATCCCATTCCTTTTTTATCATCAAGTCAGACCTGTGAGTTTTGTAGAGTAAGAGTTGGCCTTATTTTACAGAGGATGGGACTAAGCTTCAAACAAGTTAAATGGCTTGTCCAAGGTTGTGCATCTAATCAGGGCATGACCAGAGCTCCGATCCAGGTCCTCTGGCTCTAAGTTCAGAGCTTCTTTATTTTCTCACAGTTTTTTTTTTTTGTTTGTTTGTTTTTAGTTCCTTGTATGACTAATCTAAAACCTTTCTGTACAATTAAAACTGCTGTTCCTCAATGCCCCTGACTTTGAAAACGAACTTTTTGTAGACTGGTAATTAGTTCGTTTTAGTCTAGAACATTGTTCTGGGCCGGGGTGGTCAGGTATGTAGGTGGTAACTAATAGGACTGGAGAGGGAACTGTGCCCTTTACTCAAGCCTAAGAACTGATGGAGCCCACCTGAGCAAAGCATATCGTAGGGATAAGGAAGCTTGCCAACTCCTCGGAAAGGCTGGTTTCTTTGTCCTCTTATTGGGTGCATAGTTAATAACTTTAAGGTCTTCTTTGAATGGATCTGGAAACATTTTTGGCCTTGTAGTTTCTGGGGAAGCTGAATTCTGATCTGTTCTTTAGCTGGTCTTTGAATCTGGAGCCAGAAAAGGGCAACAAGGACTACAGGTTATAAGTGCTCACATCTTGTCCGTTTTCTCCTCTGCCAGGTGTTGACCCAGATGACACCTATAACGAAACCCCCTACGAGAAAGGCTTCTGCTTTGTCTCCTACCTGGCCCACTTGGTGGGTGATCAGGATCAGTTTGACAATTTTCTTAAGGTATAGTCAACTCTCAAATGAGGGGAGAAGGAAGAGGAACAGATAAGGCAGCTGGGCCAGAGTACAGGGGTAGCTGCAGGGGGCAGATGAGCTAGGGGATTGGAGGAGGGCCCAAGAAATGTAGGGGGCCTCCTCCCCGAGGGATCCAGAGAGGATCTGAAAAGCACCTCCCTTCTCACAGGCCTATGTTGATGAATTTAAATTCCAAAGTATCTTAGCTGATGACTTTCTGGAATTCTACTTGGACTATTTCCCTGAGCTAAAGAAAAGGAAAGTGGATTCCATTCCAGGTAAGCAGAAGAACTGGCCCACAGGCTTCCAGCAGACAGGAGAGAATTATATCTACTTTACGCTGGGAAAACCCAAGGTGGAGTAGGAAAATTTTGGATCAAAGTCATTTAAAAAGTGGCATTTTAGGGAACAAACCCAGGGTCCCAGGCTTGAGATGAAAAACATGGCTTCTTTTTACTCCTCTCTGCTTATTTCTCCCATTTTTGTTTCCTTTCTCTACTTTCTTTTTCTTGTTTTGCTTGCACCTGGACACACATCATCAGCTCTTTAACTCCCCAGAGAGCTGCTGCTGAGGCCCAGGCTGGACTCATAGGGCAGCCCCTGCCTTAGGAGCATGAGTTGCCTCGTACGGGCAAATTCTGAATGAAGGGAAGCCCCGGTGGCTGCCCTGAGTGAGATCTGGGAGGCACTGTCTCCTGAGGGAGCGTGGAGACCCACGGATAAGACAGTCCATTAGATGTGCCCTGCTGCGTGCTGTGTGCTCTGAGCCACGCTGGGATTACAGCTGGGATTGATCAGGCCTTAGCAGCATCTACTCTCTGGTTGGAGGCCTGCATTTCAAGGTTACAAGATTCCATAGCAGACAACAGCTAATAATAGTGCTTTCTATGCATGAGGCAGTATAATCCTTACCCAGCAAGACAGAACCCGCTACTGTTGAATCGATTCCGACTCATAGCAACCCTATAGGACAGCATAGAACTGCCCTGTAGGGTTTCTAAGGCTGTAAATCTACAGACGCAGACTGCCATATCTTTCTCCCGTGGAGTGACTGGTGGATTCGAACCACAGACCTTTTGGTTGGTGGCCGAATGCTCTAACCACTGTACTACTAGGGCTCCGTAAGCAAGCTGGGGCCACCCTCGTTTTACAGATAGAGCTGAGGCTCAGAGAGGTAAAGTAACACACCCTTGACCTCCCAGCTAGTTAATAGCAGAGCCGAGGTAGGAACCCAGGCAGCTTTGTCGTGGATAGAGCCCAGGTGCTGAGGCACTAGGCTGCTGGTGGTCCAGAGGAGAATGTGAACTTGAATAAGGCTGGGAAAGCATCTATCAGCCTGGCTCTGATGACACAATGTTCATTTGGAGCAAAAAAAAAAAACACTTTTTTTTTTAAACTGTAGAACAAGGTACAGTCCAGTCTTATAACTGGGAGCTTGCTGGAACAAGTCGCGGTGGGAAAGTGGTGTTAAAAATTCAGAGAGAGTTTGGGGTGGAGAGAGGCAGAACGGAGCTTGAGGTGTCTGGGAGTTGTTTGGGCAAGTTGACCATGACTCTGCCAGAGACATTGGATGGTATCTTCTCTCTCCTTCTAAACAGGTTTTGAGTTTGATCGATGGCTGAATACCCCTGGCTGGCCCCCCTACCTCCCTGACCTCTCCGCTGGGGACTCACTCATGAAGCCTGCTGAAGAGCTGGCCCAGCTCTGGGTGACCAAGGAGCTGGACATGAAGGCCATCAACGCTGTGGCCATCTCTCCCTGGAAGACCTACCAGCTGGTCTACTTCCTAGATAAGATCCTCCAGAAGTCCCCTCTCCCTCCGGGTAAGAAAATGTGGGTTATTTCTTTCAGCGTGGTGAATCGAGGCTCCTTGTGTGAAGAGCTGATAATATGGGGGCCAGAGAGAGACTCAGAAAAGAAGGTGTGACACTTGCCCTGGGTGACTGCCGGATGTCATCAGGAGGCTGGCAGGCGAACACAGCACTTCTGCAAGGAGTGTGGCGACAGAAGGGTACAGGTTATACATATAAGTGCATGGGGAAGGAAATAGTAAAGGCAGGCCGTCGACTCTCAGAACTACTCTGTGAAGTAGGTAGGTAGATAAGTAGCTGCTGTCAAGTTGACTCTGACTCACAGTGATCTAATGTACAACAGAATAAAACGTAGCCTGGTCCTGCATCATGCTCACGACCACTGGCATGCTCGAGTCCAGTGTCACGGCTGCCATCTCACCAAGGACCTCCGTCGCCCTTGCTGGCCCTCTATTTCACCAAACATGATGTCTCCCTCTAGTAATTGATCCCTCCTGACGATCTGTCCAAAGCAAGCGAGCTGGACAAGGTTCTGTTGTGATCCATAAGGTTTTCATTGGCTAATTCTCAGAGAGGTAAAGTAACACACCCTTGACCTCCCAGCTAGTTAATAGCAGAGCCGAGGTAGGAACCCAGGCAGCTTTGTCGTGGATAGAGCCCAGGTGCTGAGGCACTAGGCTGCTGGTGGTCCAGAGGAGAATGTGAACTTGAATAAGGCTCAGAAGTATATTGCCAGGCCTTTCTTCCTAGTCTGTCTTAGTTTGGAAGCTCTGCTAAAACCTGTCCATCATAGGTGACCCTGCTGGTATTTGAAATGCTGGTGGCCTAGCTTCCAGCATCATAGCAACATGCAGGCTGACATAGTACAACAAGTTAACAGACAGGTGGTAGATGAAGTAGGTACTGTGATTACAATCCCCAGGTAACAGCATGAACTTGAGGCAGAAGTAGGTCCCATAAATGGTGGGACTGGGATGTGAACCTACTCAGCCTAAGCTCTTAACGATGAATGCTATGCTGCCTCTCAGTCAGAAATAATAGTTACCAAGTGGTGTTACTAAAAAAAAAATTAAAGCAGAGATGACTTTTAACAGGTTAGTGGTCAAAGAGAAAGTAGGGCAGGATATTTTAGGGAGATACATGTGCTTTAATCTGGGAAGGAAAAATAGGATGATTGTAAGAAAAGGGCAAAAGGCTTGTACTAATACTAAGGAGACGTTTGGTGGAATGAAGGTAAGTATGAGAATAGGACATTGCCATTTCTGAGCGTGAAACGAATAGATACGAATGGTCAAGTGGGTGGTGGGGAACCTCCTTGAAGTCTGTTCCCTGTGTTTTTGGAGGGCCTGAGGGGAGACACTGCATGTCCCTGAGAGCAGGGCCTTTCCACACCTGGAGTTAGGCCTCTGACACATGACTCTGCTGGCAGAGTTCTTAACAGCCGTTTTATCTTTTATAGGGAACGTGAAAAAACTTGGAGAGACATACCCAAACATCTCAAACGCCCGGAATGCAGAGCTAAGGCTGCGATGGGGCCAAATTGTCCTCAAGAATGACCACCAGGAGGATTTCTGGAAAGTGAGAGAGTTCCTACAGAGCCAGGTGAGTGACTCTCACCTACATGCCTACACGGCTCCGCAGGCACAGGGTGGGGCCTGGGGCGCATACTGACCTTCTCTGGAGCTGAGGAGGGGAGATGGCCTGATGGAGGACCCTGTTCAGCAGTCATGTTGTGAAGTGGGCCTTGTGGACGCCTTGCCCTGGGGGAAGGGAAGCCTATGAGCTTGGAGAGCTTTTTTTTAATTGTGGTGAAAATATACCTAACAAAGCATGCTATCTCTACGAGTTTTTCTGCATGTATAATTCAGTGACATTGATTATTACATTCTTGTTGTGCAGCCATTCTCACTGTCCTTTTCCAAGTCATTCCACCGCCATTAACATAAACTCAGTGCCCCCTAATAATCTTGGGTTTCTATATAGTTGCGTATGTCATACAAATGATATCATATGATACTAGTCCTTCTGCCACTGACTTCTTTCATTCAGTATGATGTTTTCAAGGTTCATCCATGAAGTGGCATGTGTCAGGACTTTATTTCTCTTTATGGCTGAGTAGTATTCCATTGTGTGTTGGTTGGGGAGCCTTTTGCAGATCAGCTGGTGAGGCCCGAGGAAGAAACAATCAGAGCTGGTCAGAACTAACCCCAAACTGAGAAGCATAGTTTATAATGGGGGGCAGGGGTGGGAGCTGATCTTCAGGAAAAGACAAGAGGGAAGGGTCAGAGGACCAGAAAGATTAGTGGAGGATAAGAGTATTGATCTCTGCTCCCTGGGGAAGCCCTGTGACTTGGGAAAAATTGAGACACCAGCAGGATTCCAGATCACTCTGTCAGAGTTCCCTGCTGGGGAAGGGCCTAGGGCTCTTTTGGTGAAGTTATCAGATTCCAGAGCAGGGAGGGAGCTGGGCTGGATGTAAAGCAACACTGACTCCCCCAGCCCTTTGAGATAGTACCTGTTTGGAGGTATTGGGGGCCCTCTGAAGGCCTCGCCAAGCCTCTGGATTTTAGAAGCTTGTGATGTCGCTGGCTTATGTTATGTGAACTTGACTTGTGGATCTTCTTTTGCTTCACTGCGATTGGACTTTATGTGGTATCTGCCTATCTCTGATTAACGTGGTGGCTAGCCACCAACAGCTTTCTAAAGGTTTGGAGCCCCGTTATGTCAGTTCTCCTGATTGTTTTGTTGAATGTAGACATCCTTATGCTACCATGGATTGTAGTGAATATTGGGATCTAGCTCCATGGGTCTTTGGCCCCTAAGAAGATGCCAGAATTAGAGCACTTATCTCTGGGAAGCTCCTCATTCCAGCAGTGATACCCACGTCCCTTTTGGCACCTGACCGTGACTGCTATTACACTGGTGGGCTGGCCAGACCCACCGAGCAGGCTGCTCAGGCTGTGTGTATGTGTGTCTCATGCAGGGGAAGCAGAAGTACACCCTTCCACTGTACCACGCGATGGTGAGTGGCAGTGAGGTGGCCCGGGCTCTCGCCAAGGAGACCTTTGCCTCCACTGCCTCCCAGCTCCACAGCAACGTGGTCAACTACATCCGGCAGATCCTGGAGCCCAAGGGCAGTTAGAGGCTCAGGGCAGGGCCTCCACCTCTTCAGCCTTCACGAGCTGTCAGAGTATTGTTTGTTCCCAACTTCCAGTTCTCCAATCAACTTCCTGAAGTTTATATCCTCTCAGGATAATCTGTTCTCTGGGCTTAGGTGTCTGTGTCTCTTGGGCCCTTGCTGTGGTGAGCACTTCTCTGGAACGCTGAGGCCTGACACCAGAGAACTTCCCAGGGCTCTCCTCAGTACACCAGCAGGCTGCTGGCTGGGGTCGGGGCAGTCTTCTCCCGCCTCCCCACTTAGGTCTGCAGAGAGAATTTTATTATTTCTTTTTTGCTGCTTCTTCAGGTACTACGCAAAGGGCTGGCATTCTGGTAATTCTTTTTTATGTTTGATCTTTATTTTAATAAACGTTTTTAAGTGGAAAGTATTTAAGTTGGAGTTACGGATTGAGTGTTAAATTTCTTCTACCACTCAAAACAACTGGATGGTGCCCGGCTACCGCCACCGACTGCTCTGACAGGGATCACAGTAGAGGGCCCTGGTCAGAGCTGGAGAAAAATGTAGAACAAAATTCTAACTCACACAAAAAAGACCAGACTTGCTGGTCTGACAGAGACTGGAGAAACCCTAAGAGTATGGCCCCCGGATACCGTGTTAACTCAGTACGGAAGTCACTCCCAAGGTTCACTCTTCAGCCAAAGATTAGACAGGTGTATAGGGCCAACAGTAACACATGTGAGGAGCATGCATCATAGTTCGATCATGATGTATATGAGACTAAAGGGGCACACCAGCCCAAAAGCAAAGATGAGAAGACAGGAAGGGACAGGAAAACTGAACAAATGGAAACAGGGAACCGGGGTGGAGAAGGGGAGAGCGTTGACACATCGTGGGGTTGGTAGCCAGTGTCACAATTTGTACATCGTTTAATGAGAAACTAATTCGCTCTGTAAACTTTCACCTAAAACACAATTAAAAAAATAATAAAAAGAACACAAAAAAATTTAATTGTAAAAAAGTTCTTCTCCCAGGTGTCCCCTCTGTGTACGGGTGTTCTGAGAAGGTCGCTGGAGTAGGCCCAGAAGATGACAGTGTCCCTGCCCTTAGGGGATTCCCAGGCTAAATGGGTGAGAGTCCTGAACGTTCACACGAAGACATGGAAACATGCCACGGCGATCGTTGCTGGAGCGATGGACACACGGATAGCACTCCAGTTCTCTGGGAAGGCTGCTGAGGCCTCTCTCTGCAGCATCCTCCTATCCATCTTTTCCGTTGCTAAAATGAGGGTTCTAGTGTCGTTCCCCAGCCTTCTCAGTATCCCTGGGCCTCCCCTCCTCTGCTCCTGGATAACTTGTTTGGTGGTATGGTAAGTAGAGTCTGTTCAGAACCTGGCACGAAGTTGAGATTTCCTGGCTTCATCCTGGGGATCTAAGCAGTTAGAAACTTGAGTTCGGTGGTGTGGTGAGGGGAGGGTTGCACAGAAATGTTGAAATATATTTAAGTTGCCTTTCTTTAAATACCAGGGCACTCCTGAACCAGTCTCCATTTGTGGCTTTGTCCTTGGCTTTGAGGTTATCAATACTCTGCCCTTCCCTGCACGGGGGTTTGGAAAGAGAACACAACTCAGCTACTTAAATAGATTTGTTTTCACTCTCTGCAAAAGCCAGGAAACAGTGGTGACCAGGTGGCCGGCTGCTGAGTGCCTCTGTCCCATAGCACACCCAGAGCTTCAGCAGAGAAGGTATTTTGGGTCTTAAGAGAGGAGTTTGGGGGCCCAGGATTGTAAGAGCTACTCCAGGCCCTGGCGATTGGATAGCTTTTTCAATATGCTATAGATGAGGGCCTCTTAATGGCCATCCAGGTGCCTCCAGGTGTCAAGCTTAGCTCTGAGACCAGTGGCTGTTTTTCCTTGTTCTGTACAAAAACCCTCAGGACCGAGTCACTGTGAAAGCAAAGGGCTGGAAGCTTGTCCTCTAAAAACAGTTCTTTGACTCCATAAGTGTGTCCTGACTTGTGTTGCTGCCCCACCCATGTTCCTGTTCTCTTAGAGGGCTGGGGGCAATGCTCTTGGCACCTCCGCACCATCCCCAGGGTGAGGCTGTGCCTCTGTCTGGGCAGCTCTGTGGTGAAGGTCAGCGGTCTGTCCTTGGCATTGGCAGAGTATCGGGAAGGCCCCTTGCCTCCTGCTTCACAGCTTCTCTGACAGCTTTCCTGGAATGTGCTCTCTGCCCCCCACCCCTAATCCCTCTAAGACAGACCTCAGGATCTAAGCTTTTCACACTTATCTTCCATAACCTTCACTTGGCTATTGAAGGCATTAATATGTGGAGGTAAGGATTCTTATGCCTCAGCTCCATTTCTGCTGTTAAGCCCCCTGAAGGCAAGGGAGCAGATCTTAATCACTCTCTATACATCCTCCTCACCCCACCCATCCTCAGGGCAGGGAGCACGTGAGCAGTCCTGGGGCTAGAAGCCGGTTCTCCCACATTCCTGAGAGAGTGACTGGGCAGAGGGTGTGCCTGCCTTAGGCTTCTTGGGGGAGGCCCCCTGAAGGGTTGGGGAAAATCCTACCGTCAGACCCCCAGGCTCTCCTGCCACCCTTGGCCCAGTGGAGGGGGCCCTGGCCCTTAACCCCCCTCTCTCCTAAGCACCCCACAGTTTGAGAGACAAGGAAGATAAGAAGCAGATTCCCTGGGATGGACTTTCTTAGTCCTCAGGCTAGAGAGTTAAAGGGGTATCTGGACTTGGAGTAACCTTTTCTTTCTAGAACCTTTCCACTCACCAAGGCTGAGTGTGCCATGGGTCACCCAGGGCTGTGGGCATTAATGAAGGAGTGGAAAGAAGAGAGATACAAAGATCTTACATCATAGATGCATAAAAAACTAGATCAGGAAGATTTAGGGGTTAAGTTCAAACAACCTCCTCACTTTACAGATAAGAAAACTGAAGTGCAGAATCTTGCCCAGGACCACAGAGTTGTGGAAACACTACATGTCCACCTTTTCACCACTGTTACCCCATCCCCAGGATCTCAAAGGGGTTCCATAGAACTTCGTCATGGGCTGAGTCCATAGAGAGGACCACACACATGGGAGACTTACTGTGCTCACAGGGGACACAGGGGCCCTTCTACGGAGCTGAGGACGGGTCTGAAGCCAGGAGGGGCACGTAGTATAGGTAAAGCATGCGGGCTTGGGCATCTGGCATACCTGGGTTTAAATCTCAGCCATACCACTGAACTAGCTCAGCGTGGCCTGGGAGAACCATTTAACCCCTCTGAGCTGCAATTTCCTCACCTATAAAATGGGGATCATTGTGCATTCCCTACTGGGATTTAGTAGGGATTAAATTGGGGAGTATGGTAAAAATGTCTGGGAAAAATAAAGTATTACCGTGTGTACCTTTTTATTCTTTGAATGACATGACCCCGGTAGTCAGGCTTCTGACCACTAGAGGGCGGCAAACAGGAGGTGGTGACCTGGTGATTAGATGGGGGACCAGGTTAAAAAAAACAAAACAAACCCGTTGCCATCAAGTTGATTCCAACTCATAGTGGACCCTACAGGACAAAGTAGAACTGCCCCATAGGGTTTCCAAGGAGCGCCTGGTGGATTTGAACTGCCAGCCTTTTGGTTAGCAGCTGTAGTACTTAACCACTACACCACCAGGGTTTCAGGGGGGACCACATTGAGAGGGATAAACAGCTCTGTGTGGATCCCAGCATCTCCAGCAGTCCTAGCTGAGGAGGGTTCCATCAGGGCCTGAGGGAAGAACATTTAAGAAGAGCCAGGTCTCTCCAAAAGTGGCCCTAGCAACCCTGTTGGGTGAGGGGTTCAGGCAGGCAAAAGAGTGTGCCCAGACCTCGCCAGTAAAGTCGATGCCAGCAAGTGGGCCCTGTGGCTGGCGACCTTGGAGGCCTGGGCCTAGGCTGGCAGGCCTGGCCCCCACCCAGTAAAACCCGTTGCCATCGAGTTGAATTCTGACTCATAACGACCCTATGGGACAGAGTAGAACTGCCCCATAGGGTTTCTAAGGCTGTAAATCTTCGTGGAAGCAGAGTGCCACATCTTTCTCATGTGGAATAAATGGTGCTTTTGAACATTGACCTGTCAGCAGTGGAGTGTTTAACCACTGTACCACAGAGCTCCTTCCCCACCCACTAGCCCCTGAGTGTTGCCTGGAGTTAGGCCTGGAGAGCCTCCCAGCCTGTGCCCAGAATCCTGGGTGTTGTGGGAAAAATCCCTAAACCTCAGTAACCTCTCTCCGTATCAGGCCCCTTTGTCCTCAGCTCTCCAGACATTTAGGGGCTAGCAGGGAGTTCCTGGGTGGCACAAATGGTTAAGCACTCAACTGCTATCCAAAAGGTTGGTGGTTTGAACCCACCCAGAGGTTCCTCGGAAGACAGGCCTGGCAGTCTGCCTTCCAAAGGTCACAGTCTTGAAAACTATAGAGCAGTTCTGTTCTGCACACGTGGGGTCACCAGGAGTTGAAACTGATGACAACAACAGCCTTTTGACCCAGTTCAGCCAGGGGTTCAGATTCCCCTACCTGCCTTTCCGGCTCCCCAGCCATCCCTGGCCTGACCCCTGGGAGGAATTTCCTCAGGCAGGGGGTGGCTGAAAGCACAGATGCCCACCCCAGCAGCTCTCCCGCCACCCGCCTAAGCCAGTTCCCTGTGCCCAACCCCAGAGAGTGTGGGATTACAGACTCTGACAATCATTAAACCAGCCGAGCCTGATTTCCCAGCACCCCTGCTAGGATCTGGGCAAGTGGCACATGATATGCAAATCACCTGGGGCCAAGAGCCCAGTCTAAAGGCCAGGAAATCCCCTCCATCCAATGAGCCACCAGCTCAGGTTACCACCGGGGAGCACGCTATAAAGACTCTGGGGCGGGGAGGAGCTCACACTCTATTTAGAAGGGCGGGGGTGAGCGAGGCAAGCTGCCTCGTCGCTACCTGGCGAGCTTTTTGCTGCCTGGATTATTCGCCTGTCTGCTGTCCCTTTAGCCTGCCTGCCTGCCTGTCGCACCCGCACCCCGCGCCACTCTGGTAGGACCCTCATCTGTATACTCCCTAGTCTGGGCCTTGGGAAACTGAGGAGGGGTCTAGTGGATTTGCAGTTGTGAACCTGCCCATGCATCTCCCCATCTAGAATTTCCAAGCAGGAGTGTCGGGTGGTGGGGGTGTCCTGCAGGTCAGAGAGTGGAGGGATGGTTCCCGGGAGGGATAGGGTGGCCATGACTGCCAGTCCTACTTGGGGGCCAAGGTGGGCTGAGGAGGGAGTCCCAGCGAGACGGGGGGTCTTGTTCCCTCATCTCACTCTTAGACCTTGGAACCCTTCTTGAAGAGAGGGTGCCCCAAGAGATGTCCGCCTTCCTACCCTCAGGGGTTACCAAGGCATCGGCTTTTCCTGCTCCAGTCTTGGCCAGAACGGAGTAGATGGAGTGTAAGGCAAGGACCCCGGCCCCTCACCAACCTCACCTTCTCTCCCCAGGTAGCCTCATGGCTGCAACCTGTGAGATTAGCAACGTTTTTAGCAACTACTTCAGTGCCATGTACAGCTCAGAGGACCCCACCCTGGTGTCTGCTCCCCCTGCGGCCAACTTCGGGGCTGATGACGTGGTGCTGACCCTCAGTAACACACAGATGCCTCTGCAGGGCACAGGTGGGTCTCAGGCAGGGTGAGGGGCGACACATCCATCTACAGCCTGTTGGATACACGGGGCTTGGGCAGGGAGGAGACTCCCCTGAACCAGTTCTAGGGCTAGGGGCTGGGATGATGTGACTGAGGTGTGACTACCGTGAATACCACTTCCTGCCCCTACCTCGGCAAGGTTCTCTGAGGCGTCAGATGGTAATGGGCGTCAGGAAGGGGGCTTGGAGGGTCTGTCAGCTGGCGTGGGCTGACCCCGCTGCTGCACCCGGCCCCTTGTAGAGAAAGCCAGCTGGTCGGGGGAGCAGCCCCAGTTCTGGTCGAAGGCCCAGGTTCTGGACTGGATCAGCTACCAAGTGGAAAAGAACAAGTACGATGCTAGCTCCATTGACTTCTCGCGGTGCGACATGGATGGGGCCACGCTCTGCAATTGTGCCCTCGAGGAGCTGCGCCTGGTGTTTGGGCCTCTGGGGGACCAGCTCCATGCCCAGCTGCAGGACCTCAGTGAGTCCAGGCTCCTGGTCAGGGGCGGATTAACCAGCAAGCAAGGTACGCAAGGGCTTATATTAAGCAAGATACACACGGGCTTACATTAAGCAAGGTACGCACGGGCTTATGTTAAGCAAAGTATGCACAGGGTTACTTGTGTTTGCTTACTGATCTGTAGTGCACAATTTCACGTGGGTGAAAAGTGTGAAAAATAGGTGAAATTGTGCACTGCAGATTGGTAAGGATGCAGCGGTAAGCCCGTGTGAACCTTGCTTATTGGGCAGTCTGTCCCTGCTTTTGATGCCAGCAGGACCCAGGAGTTGGGAGGGGGCTGGCTTCTTTCCTACTCCCCCCCTTCTCAGGGAGGCTGAGTGGAGTTTGGCACGGCGATGGGAAGGACCCCAGACCCAGGCCAGAGGGCACAGCCAGAGAGGAGCCCTGAGGGTGAGGGGAGTGTGCTGCAGCCTGGGCCCTGACCTCGTCTTCCTTCCCTGCCAGCTGCCAGCTCTTCTGATGAACTCAGCTGGATTATCGAACCCCTGGAGAAGGATGGCATGTCTGACGAACTCAGCTGGATCATTGAACTCCTGGAGAAGGATGGCATGGCCTTCCAGGAGACCCTAGGAGACATGGGCCCCTTAGGTGAGGACCCACTTACCTCTCCTCCCAGCCTGTCCTGTCCCATCCTTGCCCCCGCCAGAACGCTAGAGATGACCCCCCCACCAAGACTTCTTCCTCCCCGCTATTAGAAAAATACCAACAGGGCAGCTCATCAGACCTGTGGGCAGTCTTCCCTTCCTGCGGGTCCTCTGAGTCCCTCTTATCTCTGATCTTCTCCTCCCAGACCAGGCAAGCCCCTTCGTCCAGGAGCTGCTGGAGGACTGCCCATACTACCCCAGCAGCTACGGGGCCGGAGCCCCCTCCCCTGGCAGCTCGGATGTCTCCACTGCAGGTGAGGGCCCTGTCTGGACCACTGTCCCTTCACCCGAATGCCCTGAGCCTCTTGGGTCCCAGCACTAGAACCCAGGCTTCTCTGGAAGGAAGCAGGGGTGGGGTGGGCAGCACGTCCCGGCATCCTCAGGGGCCCTACCCAGAGACGCCTGGGCTGTGCGGGGCCTCAGCCTCACCTGGCCTGCCTCCCCAGGCACTGGCACGCCCCAGAGCTCACACTCCTCAGACTCCGGTGGAAGCGACGTGGACCTGGATCCCACGGACAGCAGCAAGCTCTTCCCTACTGGTGAGTCCAGGGAGGCTTCTTCGTCCCAAGAGGGTGTCCCACTGGGCAGGGGCCAAGTTTTCCTGTGGAGGGGTGCTCTGCCAGCACCCTCATCCCTGCTCTTCCTGACTGACCACCTCTGCTCATAGATGGCTTTCCAGACTATAAGAAGGGGGACCCCAAGCACGGGAAGCGGAAGCGGGGCCGGCCACGAAAGCTGAGCAAAGAGTCCCGGGAGTGTTTGGAGGGCAAGAAGAGCAAGCACGGTGAGCTCCTGGGTCACCCCCTTTGTGCGGAGGCGGGGGGTGGGCCGGGGGAGGGGTACTGTGGCACTGCTGGCATTCCTCCTCTCCCTGCATTCTCTGCCTTCCACGCTGCCACCCGCCTCGTGAGGGCTGCGCACGGCGGGAAGGGCTCCATGGTGACAGTCAGCCACCACCTCACTGCACAGCCCCCCTGGGTGGTCCTGGAGTGGAGGGAAACTGAGGCTCCTGAGGAAGGGCCAGGCTTCCTTCACAACCTATTCTAGTCCTCTGCACTTGGCCCCTGGCCTGCCTGCTGGGACACCTTGGTGGTGGAGGAGGAGGCTGGTGTGTGCCAGGGAGCACCAGAAGAGCCCTCAGTGGGCTGAGACTCCAGGCAGAGAGCATGGTCTGGGGGTGCCTAGGCTGCTGGACTTCCCAGCCTGTGGAGGGCTGAGGAGGGGGCGACCCCTCCAGCCACCAGGCCATCCTGTCCCTGAGTCCACCAGCCACCACGAACCACCGAGAGGCTGCCCAAAGCTCCGTGGTCTCTCTCGCCTATGCTTTTGCTCATGCAGTCGCTCCTCACACACACACTTGGCCTGGCTCTTTTCTTCTTGTCCTCAGGGAGGTGTTTTTTCCAGAGACGCTGTCCCCTGATCCCCCAGGCTGGGGCCAATTCTTTGCTCCATATACTTGCCACGACAGCTCTTGTCACCATTTGGTGTGGTTACTTTTTAACTGCGGCCCCACTGGACCAGGAGCTCCTCTGGGCACTACTGTGTCTCAGTCACTGTATCCCAACCAGACATACAGCCCTCTGGGAGCTCCCATCTAGGGAGGAGGCCAGGAGCGAAGTGGCCGGTGCAGTACGTGGCACCAAGTAAGGCCTGTTCCACGTGTCTGGCCCTTAGTAAGCAGCATGCTGGGATGGGCAGGGCCAGCTGGCCTGCGGTGAGGGAACACAGCCCACACACCTGGCCCACTCACTGAGGGCTTCTGGCCTTGCAGCCCCCAGAGGCACCCACCTGTGGGAGTTTATCCGGGACATCCTCATCCACCCGGAGCTCAACGAGGGCCTCATGAAGTGGGAGAACCGGCACGAGGGCGTCTTCAAGTTCCTGCGCTCTGAGGCCGTGGCCCAGCTGTGGGGCCAAAAGAAAAAGAACAGCAGCATGACCTACGAGAAGCTGAGCCGGGCCATGAGGTGAGCTGGTAGCCGGGACCCCCATGCCCTGGCTAGACACCTAGGGGATCCAGGGCAGAGAAGACAGGATCGGCAGGAACAGAATGGTATTTGTGTACCCGCTGCCCTCTCCCAACTACCACCACCAACCTCTGCCAACACTATTTCATCCAACAAATTTGGATAATAGCAATGCCAGCCTATTTCATGGAGTCCCTGGGTGGTGCAAACGGTTAACATGCTCGGCTGCGAACCGAAAGGTTGGAGGTTTGAGTCCACCCAGAGGCATGTAGGATGAAAGGCCTGGCGATCTACTTCCAAATAATCAGCCAGTAAAAACTCTATGGAGCACAGTTCTACTCCAACACAGATGGGGTTGCCATGAGTTGTAATCAACTCACCGGCCACTGGTGGTATCTACTTCATGTGATTAAATGATCACATGGAGAAAGTCTTAGCCTGGCACACGGAAGGCCCTCAATAAACTTTAATTAACAGGAATGTATTTTTGTCCTGTCTGCAAGGCTTGTCCTAACCAAGGCGCTTAGCCAGTGGTAAAAAGAGCATTAGCCTCGGTCCCACGCTCAAGTCCTGGCCCTCCTGCTATTAAAGCAATTAAGCAGCTTGTCTCTGGGCCTCAGTTTCCTCTTCTTGTACAAGGGTGAACTGGCTCATCTCTAAGGGTCCTCCAGCCCTGAAATATGTGGTGTCATGGTGTGCCCCAGGGCACAGCCATAAGTTACAAAGAAACAAAGGCAGAACCGGGTAACCTGGACACAAGTACAGGCCGGAGGGCAGCGATGGAGTAAAGACTGCTTCCCCTTGCAGGCGGGAAGGAGAGAGAAGCTTCAGGAAGGCCAAACCGTGGTGGTCAGGGTCAGGTTAGTCCAGCTGGAAATGAGTGGGGACCTGAGGATAGCTGTGGGACAGATGGGAGGCACCAGCGCTCCAAGGCATGTCCCCTGCCTGAGATATCTGACCACCCTTCTCCCCACCCCAGGTACTACTATAAACGGGAGATCCTGGAACGGGTGGACGGCCGGCGGCTCGTCTACAAGTTTGGCAAAAACTCCAGCGGCTGGAAGGAGGAAGAAGTTGCTGGGAGTCGGAACTGAGGGTCTGAATTAGACCCGGGACCAAACTCATGGACTCAAGGCCCGCAGCCCTCCTAGGAGGACAGGCGGGCGTGGTGGCTGCCCCTGTTGGGGCATGGTCCCCCGTGTGCTTCTGTGGAGAGAAGCTGAAGTGTTGGTTTATTGTCAACCACTGTCCTGGGATTCGAGGCCTGTGGCCTCTCCTCTCTGCCCTCCTCTTGGAATTACAAGTCCGGGGGTTTGAAGTGACTCCAACTGCTGACTGTAACTGCCAGTGCATCCTACCCGGTGTCTTCTCAAACCCAGTCCCAGACACTAGCTGCAGACGGTGCCTTCCTCCCGAGGACACCTGGACTGAGCCAAGGAGGCTGGGGAGGCTGTAGGAGAGCATGGTGCATGTCAGAGAGGACAGGACGAGGTCCTCCAGTGACTTCCCTGCACTGGCCCCTACCTCCCTTCTCAGTGCTTGGACTCCGTGGGCAGGGGTCAGAGCACTCCCTAATTTATGTGCTATAAATACGTCAGATGTACATAGAGATCTATTTTTTCTAAGACAGTTCCCTCCCCGCTTCTCTCCCACCAAACGCTGGTAGCCAGACTGGGTGTTCTAGGCTGGGCCAGTGAGGGGCGGCTGATGCCAGGACCCTCAGGGTGGGGCTCCTGGCTCCTTTCTCCTGTGGATGGAGGCAGAGACCTCCAATAAAGTGCCTTCTCAGCTTTTTCTAACCTTTGTCTTGGCTATCTGTGTTCTGAAGTTTGGGCCTCTGGATTGGATAGGGTCATGGGATTGGGGAGAGAAGCAGGGCAGGGTCCTACTGGGCTGAAGGTGGGGGGCTATGTATGACTTCCTGTCACAGGAGGGCTGGGCTCACAGGCACATTGGCTGGGGGTTGGAAGGAGAGCAGAGTAAACTGGAGAGGACCTTCACACGTGAGAAAGCTTGTAAGACTTCGTGCAGGCCAAGGACACGAGCTTAGGAAGCTGAGGACTGGGGCCTGGTTCTGCTGCTGCCACACTGGCTCTGTGACCTTGGCCAAGTGGTGATCTCTGGGCCTGCTTCCTCACTGTAAGGCTGGGGCTGGATCCAGTGTTCTCTAAGAAGTCTAGAACTGCATGTCTGGCCTTGTGGATGGATGCTTTTGCATTCCAGCCAAGCTGGCTGTAAGCTGAACGTCTGTAATACGAATCCTAGCTTTTGTTGTCTGACATGAAATCAGAGTTATGGTCTTGTAGAGAGAAAAATGGAGATGAGAAAGGAATGGGGGAAGGAAGTGACATTTGTTGACAGTTTACTGTATGCCATGTGCTAGATGCCACTTGCCTCATTTAATCTCCCAAGAAGGGAGGAGAAGATTGATAATTCCTATTTTACAAATGGAGAAACTGAGGTTCAGTAGGGCCAGTGACTTGGCTAAGGTCACTCAAGCAGTACCTTGGTGCTGCCCTGCAGCCTTGCCCTGGGAGCTTCTCCTAGGTTAGGGCTTCTCTAACATAATCCTCATTAGATCCCAGAACTGTATTATCCTGTTTCCACAGTGATAAGTGCATCTAGGTTTTAGAAAGGACATTCTACTGACGTGCGCTGTAGGCTAACTTACGGAGAACACCTTCTAGGTGGAAAGTTCCTTAAGTTTGAGCCTTCAAATTCCACAGAGCACATTAAAAACTCATTTGGCAAACTTGAAGTACTGTTTAGTTGGTTTAGAAACACCAGATCATTCCCTGAAGAGATGTGGGTAAAGAAGGGATTTTGAACAAGCCGTGTATATGTGTGTATGGAAACTGGGGCTTATCCTGGAGAAACAAGGAATGTGGGAAGGAAAGTGGGGATGATGGTTGGAGACAGTCATGGGGTCACGAAAGAACCTATGATCTTCTGGAGCCATTTTGGAAGAAGATGGTGTCCCTCACATTTCCCTTCTGAAGTGTGAGCAAGTTAGCCCAAGAGGGTAGCTGGTAAGGGCAGAGGTTTTAGCCTAAGACCAGACCTGACTCCAATCCTGGCAAGGCCACTTACAGCTGGAGAACCTTAGCCTAATAATAACCATCATTTCTTAGAATAATATGTGCTAGGCATTGTGCTGATTTCTCTACGTACATTATCTCGGGGTCACCTGTGTTCCTGAAGTCAACTAGACGTGGGAGGTGAGCCTTGGGGACCCAGGGCACGCTTGCTGCACCTCCCTTGAGCCTCAATTCCTTCAGCTCTAAAAAGGGGATTCTAACACATCATGCTTGGTAAAGTAGAGTGTCAGTGAAAAAGAGGAAGACCCTCAACGAGATGGATTGACCCAGTGGGTGCAACAATGGGCCCTGTGAAGGACTGGGTGGTGTTTCATTCTGCTGTACATAGGGTCGCTGTGAGTCGGAAGTGACTAGAGGGCATCTAACAACAATGATAGTGAGAGACACGCAGAGAGTCCGTGTGGGGGAGCAGGGCTGAGAATATGGAGCCCAGTCTCTTTATCCCCTGCCGAAGGGCTGGGGAGGCAGCTGTGCTGCACAGCGGTATACTCTGACCTTTGTCCTGCTGTTTTCAATTTATGAGGCTGTTTCCTCAGCCCATTATCTCATTTGATTTGCACCACAGCTCTCTGGGGAGACTGGATGTCCCCATTTCACTGATGAGGCTAATGGCTGGTCACCAGCCTGGCAAGAGTGGGGACCAGACCTGAGATGCTCTGAGGCCAGAGTGTGGGCAGCAGCACCCCCACCCCACCATGTGCTCTGGGAGGGAGTCTGGGACGGTGGCCTGGCAGAGGTGGCCTGGAGAGGGGAGGCAGGGAGGGGCACGCTTACTGCCCCGAAGGGACATATTTCTTACTCAAGACTTCAATACCAACATTGCCCTCCACCCTCCACCCTGCAGGACTCTGCAAAGCTGCAGGCACAACCCACAAGCCCACATCAAGTCCAGAACCCCAGGGCTGGCCTTCCTCCTCCCCTGGTGCCCTGTCTGTCAGGCTTCAGCCACCCTTATCCCCAGCTCTCACCAGCTCAGAAGCCTCTGAATGGACTCCCACCCAGACATGGAAGGTGAGGGAGGAGGGGACTACCCTGTCTCTTGTGTTCCTTTTGGTGCGGCCTGGACTGAGGGCTGTGGGGGGAGGGCACAGGGCTGGGCTGCTGGATCCTCCCCTGAGCGGCTGGCTGGTCACCTCTTATCTGCTTCTGTGGGTTGGGTGTGCAGGTCCGAGGGAGGTTACCTCCCCATGTTTGGGTGTGCCTGCTGGGGGCTGGGCCTCCTGTCTGGGCTGTCTCCCCTGAATTCTCCCCTGCAGCCCCACCCCTCCCACCTAATTCAGGAGAGATCTTGCTTCACCTGCTCTCCTCAGTGAAGTAGGTAAAGTGGTTGTATTTTTATTAAGGGGCTATTTCAATCTGTTTTTTCATTCCAGTTATCTGTTTACATGTCTCTCTCCCCTACTGGGTTGTGAGCACCGCTGGCAAGGACTGGGGCTTACTCATCTCAGCACCTTACACAGTGCCTGGCACAGAGAAGGTGCTTGATAAATATTTGTTAAGCTGCCCTGTGACTTTCCCTGCCTCTCCCTGCCCTGGCCACCGCCTTCCCCACACTCTCACACCACACACATTCACACACACATGCCATGCACACACACCACACACACACCAGACACAATCATACACACACACCACATACACATATACACCACACACCGCCACATATATACCACACACACTCACACACCACCTCAGACACACACCACACACATTAACACACACACATTCACATATACCACACATCACACTCATGCACTCTGACACAAACACACATCACACACATATACCACACACACACCCCTCACATAGACACACACACCCCACACTGATACACACACACACCACACACATTCACACTCCCACACACAAACACACCTCACCTATACACACCCCCCCACACTCATGCACACTCATACACATGTACCACCCACACAATACACCACACACACAGTCACATATACCACACATCACACTCATGCACACTCTCACACACACACCGCACACATATACCACATACATTCACACACACACATCTCACATGTACACATACATACCTCACACTCACACCACAGTGCACACAGCCACACCCACTCACACATACAGTACAACCCCTTGCCATGGATCAAACACCAGATCACTCTGCCTCAACCCTCTATTTACATCGCTCACCTTCTCCTGCAGGGTCCAGCTGCCCCCTTCTAGAAGCATTTCCTGACCTCCTTTCTGCCCCTTCCCCCCGACCAGGTGGGCTCAGCCCTTCCCTTCTCCAGTAGCTGAGACCCTCCTGGTGGCCATTCCTTGGGAGTGTTGACTGGAATCAGGACAGGCTACATAATTTACGGGACCCAGTGCAAAATGAAAACGCGGGGACCCTTGATCAAAAAAAAAAAAAAAAATGTCAAGGTGGCATCAGCAGGGCAGAATATTAAACCAAACACGAGCCCTTCAGAGCCTGCGGTCCTCTGAGCAAGTATGGGGCCCTGTACGACTGCACAGGCCACACGTTCAGAAAGCCAGCCCTGCCACTGGTGCCCCACTGGCCTGTTTAAGCACCACTGAACTACCCACCATGCCTCCTACTGTAGGTATGTGTGCAGCCATCATAAAAAAATGAGCAGGTTGCCAAGTTTTGAAAATCAGAAAAATTTTCACAGAAAACTCTAAATATGTGGCTTCTCTTTAAGAAAAATCAGCTCTGGCGGAGCTGAGCCAGCTTTTGCACTGGACCACAATCTGCAGAGGCAGAGTCATGGCCGCCTGATACATGAGCTCAAGTTCACTACCATTGACGCCATGCGGTACCTATGTGGCCCCAGAGGCCTTTGAGTTTTTAATCCCTGGTAGCAAAAAAATCTACGCCTGTCCCCACCTCCTGTCCCAGAGTAAGGCCTCATTTTGTAGCCCCTGTACCTGGCAAACTGATGGCTTTTTGAGGACATTGATAAGTAAATGGTTGATGAGGGGTTGTTATGGATTGAGTTGTGTCCCCCAAAAATATGTGTATCAG